AGCCCGCACAACCCTATTGTGAATCTGCGTGTCGTTTAGAGGGCCTTTTAGTACGAGAGAAGTGGCTTGGAAATTTCTCAAACATGCAAGGAGCATCTGTTACCTTCTGTGGCCCCTCCAGAGCCTCTTCGGCTGCCCTGGAGCAAGGAGCAAAAGTAAAAGTTGAATCAAGAAAAGAAGAGCGAATCAGCGTCGGCATTTTTTGAAGCCAAAATCCGAAGAAGACTCCGTTCCATCGGCAAGAACAATCTCATCGCTCCAGTAGACTCAACTCCCTCAACACACCAGATGACGTTACAGGCTCTACTTATCATTGGTGTAGCACCTCGCACAAGAGATCACACAAACCCACACACAAGACCGTCAATCTGTCCCAAAAGTCCCCGTCAATCAATCACAGATCTTGTAGCTACGAAAGCATTGCCTCCACCAACGCCAGCCATGCCACCGCACGAAAATACAAAATCTCACACAACCAGTCCAGTCCCCCAAAGCATAGCACAGCCCATCCTCCCGCCCCTTCCGTCGCTCTTGTGCCAGAAAACGCACCTCACCACACCTTTCACGAACTTCTCACCTTCATACATTGTCGTCCGCGATATTCGACAAGTCACCCAAACTTGTCGTCAGTCCATCCCGAATCCTTTATATGAGTCTGTTCATCCTTCAAACTCAACCACACCTGTCCCAGGCGGCGCCACCACTGTCTCTGCCCGCGGCCGCCCTTGTTCAGGATCAACAGCATCCATAAGACTATGGTCTTGTTCTTTAGAAGTCCCCGCCCCGGCATCCAATCCCTCCAACAAGTCACGATCGGAGCTCTTGACTGATCGATCATCTCCGCTTGGAGCACCAGGGTCCTTTCTAGCGCCAACCGCTATGCCAATGTCGTCATCATCCTCCTCCTCTTCATCGGGTCGTTGGCCAGGCACAGCATTCTTCTCGAGCTCCTTCTGGGCTTCTTCCATCCGGCGTCGTACTTCGGTCGCGACGCGCATGCCGTCCGTCACGATGTGGTCTAGAACACCGCGTAGGCCTCTTCCTGCACCGTGGGGCCCGGGTTGGATGGGAATTGGTGGCCGGGAGCTGAAGCCGAGGCTGGCGAATGTAGTCAGAGATGAGCTGTGTGGTGTGGATGAGGCGCTATGGAGGCCTTCTATTAGGTGGAATGAGGAGGGAAAAGATGATTCGAAGAACTGCTCCAACAACTCGTCTGCGAGAACCACCATGCGGAATGTCGGCAAGGTTATGTGCATTGGCTGAGCTGGGTTGAGGGCCGCATTGGCGGCTACTGACTTGGCCTCGGACACCCAACGTCGGGAGTCTGTGCCAGGGCCATCGTTTTGAGACTCCCCCGGAAACTTTGTCTGCGAGTCCGTCTGTGGGGAGTTTGTGAAGGAGACTGCCGCTGACTTTTTCGACTTGAAGGCTTTGGAAGGAGATTCTGAAGCTGGCTCGAAATCCAGAAGGTCCTGCTCGCCTTCTTCCTCTTCGTCGTCGTCTTGACCAATGGTAAAGGCGTTTGCGTCTGTGACTCCGTCAACATCCCTCATGGATGGTGGCGTACCTTGAAAATTAATATTGCCTTGCGGATTATCCGGATCGGCGTATTCAAAACATCGACGGATGAAGGCGCTGACACTACCTAGGAATCTCTCATTCACTGGTACGCTGGGCGGCAAGCTTAGCTGGGACTCCTGAAGATTGTCTGTGTCATTTTGGAGAGCCACACTTGATGCATCCGGGCTGAGACTTCCTTCGAGACCACGACGGGATAGAAACAGCAACGCCTCCGAAATGCGAAGTATGCCTTCTCGGTCTACCTTTCCGTCGCCATCGTCGTCGTAAAGCTCGAAAAAGTAAGTAATGGTACCCATAATATCTCCTTTACCCTTGATACCTGCCAACCCAGTGACGACCTCCTGCAGACTCAGAGCTGCGTTACCATCCACATCCCACTTCTCGTACAGTCGCTGGAGGAACTCGTGCTCTGCAGGTTCTGGGCCAAACCCCCACGGTGAAGTACTGCCTGTAGTCCGTCTCGCGTTGTTAAATCTTGAGAATCTGTCATCCCCAGACCCGGAGTGATTCCGTGAGTTTCCAGGTGAATCGGAAATAGCCCATTTGCACATGCTGGCCAAGAACTCCCTGAATGCGTCGTAATCCATCCGGTTCGTACTGGGGCCGAGTCCAACACGGCCCCTCTCTACGAGCTTGGGCGTTGATGTGAATATCTCCGACGCTCGCTGCCTGCTCGTTTTGGCTCGTCTCTTGGCTTCTTCCTGAATCATCAGGTCGCGCTGCTGCCTCTCGTATAGAATGCTGTAAAACCTGTCGTAGAGTGCACCAAGCTCCTCACTTCCAAGTAGCTTGCTGTCGGGTCCAAGGTTTCGGATCGCGGTCCTCTTGGCAAAATTTTCAATATTGTTCAGAACAGCATCTTTCTTCTTTAAGCGCAGTTCAGTTATGCTACTGTGAGTGATACCTGCGAACTCTTTGAAAGCAACCACCATGAGTTCCTGAAACCTGGTCACCGCTCGAAGCTTGGGATTTTCTGACTTGGGATGGGCCGACTCGTCCAGTCTCGCAAAATACGACTTCAGGACAGAAATGAAGGCTCCATCATCAGCAGCGTCCAACAGATCTTCGCCATTGATGCGAAGGATAGCCAAGCCGACTTGGAATAATACCTTTGGGCCTTCAACAAAGAAGACATCTAGCACCCGAAAAGCAAAGATTAATGGCATAGAGTTGATGTACAATGACAAAAACCAGGGCAGTGAGACGACTGATAGTTGAATGTCGCTCTTGACCAGGTGCTCCCACAAAATGGGCATGGTTCTTTCGACCAGTGATTCGAACACCTTTTGGTCCAGCAGGGTTCCGTACATGGTGGTTGAATAGTAGCCAGGAACAAGCCGATCACAAAGAGACGACAGGAGAAAGAATGCTTGCGCTTCCGACATGTAGATCAGAAGAGCTGCCACAACGATATTCATGGCTTGGCAGTATCCGACATCCGGGTTAACCCAGCTGTATGCGGTCAAAACCCGGCGGAGTCGACTGATGCCTTCTTCGCTCTGAAAACCAGGGTACTCGGGCAAGCTTCTATTCAGATCCTTCTCAATCTCGTCAATGGCGAGTGATTCCTGTCCTTCAAACTTGGCCAAAGTATCTGTGAAGAGACTTGGATTTTCCAACCGCAAGTAAAGAGAGCCCGAGGTAAGCTCCCAAATCTCCCCCCGTAAACGATTAGGCAAACCAACCCGTATTAATTTATGAAACGTCGGTTGGCGGATCAAGGTCGCGTTCCTGCCATTATCTCGAAGATACTCGGCCCAGAGCCGCACTTTCGCTCTGTCTCGTAGCTTTTTCGGATCGCCCGGGTATCTGAAAATCATTCCCAGCCCAGCGTCGGGCGGATTGTCATTCTTTCTGTCTTCGGATCGAAGCAGATGCTCAGAGTAGCATTCTGCGACAACTTTTCGCAGTTTGCCCACATTGCCTACGCCAGCTCTCAACCCCCTCTTCAGGCCGTCGCAGAATCGTTCGCAATCGGGGCGGGCGCCGGACAAGTGAATCGTGAACCGCTGTTCCCGGGTTTCTTTTGCATCTTTGCCTCCGTCTTTTTCTTTCTCATGGTTGTTAGCTAATAATCCTTTCCACGTCGTGATGGCCAGCGCAAACTAAGAGAGGAGGGTGTCAGTCTAAAAAATCAGATCCAGCTGGTACGTTACAGCGCAGTTTTTGGGACCTGCACATGTCACCCAATCACGATGGGGGAGTACGTCTCGTTGGCATGATTTACCTGAAAATTTTGACTGTTCAACCTCTCAACCCTTCTTATAGCGCACAAGGGAACCGTGAATCCATTCCCACACGGACCAGCGCCATCGGTCTGTCCTGTAAAGGCCAGCGATGTCGAGGTGCTGGCTGTTGGTGCAAAGCTTGATGGCGTAGTTGAAAAGCATATGTAGGCTTCGGACAGGTGTATCTTGCCGGCGTAATGCCATCCTCTATCATGGTCCTTGTCGCCCTGTGTTGCGTTGGAAGGCGGGATGGTGAGCCCGGCGCTGATCTCGCATAGGGGGTTTTGAGAGGCGGGCAGGCGAAACTGATTTTGGAATAGCGATGCTTTGGAAGGATTCTTATCGGAGCTGGACAGGTTCAAGCCTTGGGTCGGATCAATCAATTGCTGGGCCTTTTGCACGATGCTGGCGAAATTGGAAAACATGGTCGCAATTCACCAGCGCCGCATGGCGGTGTCAAAGGAAGCGAGCAATCTGTATCTGCATGTATGACGAGCAGGGCAGCGAACGCGTGGGAGGAGGAGACTGTGTGGCGAAGCGAGAGCAGGCGCAGCGTCCAATTGTGTCTACGAAGCCGACAGCCTGGTCCAGACAATTGTTGAGTTGTTGTCGTCAAGAGTGAGGTGGATGGAATGTTTGACGGCAGGAATGTACGAGCTGGTGCGCTGGCATGAGGTTGAGACGTCTTCGAGGTGACGAAGGCCTGTTCAGTGGATGCGCTCAACGCCAGGACGAGGCCGGCGCTGTCATTGGTCTGCAAGCCCGGCGGCGCATCGACCGCCACAGGGGTGGTCGACGCCACAGTGTTCATAAATGCTCTCCTCTTTCTTTCAATGCAATGTTCAATACTTTGCTTTCCTGATATGTATGTAGTTTGCCTTTTCGTCAAAGACTTCAGGCGTTTGGCCGCCTACATTATGTGCTACGAGCCAAGTCGGTCCCTGTAACTGGAGCCGGCGGATGCTCTCAGAGCGATTAGACTATGACATCATAAGGTTCTTGGGTTCTTACCAGCCACACATCATCGCCTCATCACGACGCATGAGAGCTGATGCAAAAATTACTGAGACACTTTCCATGTTAGAGGCTGTACAACTTCGAATTTCGCTCTCTGTATCAGTGTTCCATGTACGTCCAACAAAAAGGGAAGTTAGATGACTGGGCACAAAACGGGACCAAAAATGAAGCCATCTCCGATGCGGGGAATCGAACCCCGGTCCCTGCGGACACTTCCGTATGAAAGCGCAGTATGATAGCCATTACACCACACCGGATGTTCGATGAAACGGTCCCAGTTTACTTAAAATATATTGGATGCAAATACTCTCAAGGCTAAGAGCTGCAAATGTGTATGTACATAATAGGTATGTACTCCGTAGTTGCTTCACGATCGCGTGGCTCCAACACCTGACTGGTTGCAAAGAGATGTGTTTGTTTGTAAACTGCGACGTCTGCAGGCAGCTTCTAAGTTCTTGAGATGGGTATAATTCTGCCAGAGTCCGTTTCCGCCCATCGTCTCTACCCCCTCCATCCTCGATCCCTTCCCTTTCCCCCCCCCCCGATTTTTACCTAGGTGCTCCGTACTTTACGCCTTGTTGCGTCATTAGGCGGCGGTTAATGGCCTCGCGCAACGGATGACACCTACCGATCCGTGCCACGATGCCTTGCCATGCGCTCATTCATGTGCTCCGAATGTGACAGCATCTTTGAACTAGGAAGATCATGGCCCAATTGATAATCTGTTTACATACAGCAATAGAAAAATAAATCTACCTGTCGCAACATTGGCAGCATTCGCGCACCCGACGTCACCAACCCGTCGTCCCGTCTAATAATAATAAGCCCGTCTAGTCCCGCTCCGGACGCCTCGTTTCAATCGCCGCTCTTGGGTCTTGACGCTTGTTGACCGTCTCCCCAACCCGTCATCTTTCGTGCCAAACGGTCTTTGTCGCCCTCCAACAAAACCGTTGCAAAACCCGTTGGCATCAGAACTACCCAAGGTAGGTAGGTACCTAGCTCGCTTTCAACGCTGCCCCCGTTTTCCTTTCTGTTCTGAGCGTCGAATTGACTTACGCGCATTCGTTGATTGCTAAACGCCTAGCACGCCACGGACCGAGCCTGGAACCTTGACATCTCCCATAAGCTCGGGAAAGGCGTCGCGATCCCAATTGAAACCGACAAGTCACGACACAGCGCGATTAATAAGGACTTCTGCCTTGTCAACGAAAATCGAGATCCTCCTGTCCTGTCCGACCCGCTTTCTTGGCGACCGCCCCCCTCCGCACCTCGGAGAGTTTGGGACTCGGCTGCGAGTGGTTGACCTGCTTCTTGCTCGGCCTGCGTCATCCATAATAAGCAAGATCCCATCAGCAGGAAGCTATGCACTGGGCGTCTACAGAGTACTGGTTCAACAATCCGTCACGTCAGCAGGATTGCCAACGAAGCAACGGCGCAGTTCATCCCTTGTCTTGCCCCAAGTTGACAAAAAGTTGGTAGCTCGCCTTTGCAGCAAGTACGCATCAACACCAGCGTCGTCCCCTTTCGCCCTTGTGTTAGCCGTCTCGGCGTCCAACGTGGCCATGTGCTAAACTTTTCTCAGATACATAGCACAATTTTAGGGCCGCTTCAATGAAAAGGATAGCGCTCGTGTCAACACCTGATTTTCCATTCAGTCCTCCCAAACGGTGAAGCCCATCTGCGACGAAGACGGTCGATCTTGTAACCTGTTCAGATACGACTCTCAGGTAAACCTCAATCATGCTTCTCACGCTGTTGCTTTGCATAACACCAAGGTATTTCTTGGATCTTTCGATCTGTCGCTTACCTCAACAACGAGTCCGCCAGGCCATCACTCGGCGCAACGAGGTCATACTGTTCGAACCGACCTGACATCCGACGACATGGCTGCTACTGTTGCTCAACCGCCGGCGCCGGCGGCATTGTCTTCATCGAGGAGTGTGAATGCGCCGGTTGCTTCTGGGTCTCACGTGGCACGCAACCAGCGTCCCCATCGACATGGTCACTTTCAACCGCAAACCACCCCAACAAATTGTCCGCGCGTTGGGGCGTTGCCAAAGACGCAAAAGTTTAACCCTGATCACTTCAAAGTGGTTCGCACTCTTGGAACAGGTTGGCAACTTTCCTTTTCCCAGCAGGAGAGGGGGCAATTGGATGTGAAAGGGAGTGAGGGCTTTCACAAAGAAGGCTAAGACGCAGGTGCAAGCGCAGCGAAGTACTCTGAGATGGAACGCTCTTCTACTATCGAATATTACTAATCGAATCTTTCTTCGTCGCAGGCACGTTCGCACGAGTCTGTCTAGTTCGCCCATCAAATGCTCCCGACATCCCTCTAGAGCAAGAAAATAGAGGCAATGCCGAGGTATACGCACTCAAGATACTACGCAAGACCGAAGTCATCAGATTGAAGCAAGTCGAGCATGTCCGTCACGAGAGGTCTATCCTGGCTGATGTAGCAGGCCATCCCTTCATCACCAGCCTCCTTGCCTCGTTCTCCGACCACGATTGCCTTTACATGCTCCTCGACTACGTCCCCGGGGGTGAGCTCTTCAGCTATCTCCGAAAGCTCCGTCGTTTTGAGGAATCCACCGCCTGCTTCTACGCAGCCGAGATTGTGCTCGTCTTGGAACATCTCCACGAGCACCAAGGGGGCGTGGCATACCGAGATCTTAAGCCTGAAAACCTCTTGCTGGACAAGGACGGCCACATTAAGCTAGTAGATTTTGGTTTCGCAAAGCGCCTCGGTTATAAAAACGACCATCCGGTCGAGACGTACACTCTCTGTGGTACGCCAGAGTATCTTGCTCCAGAGGTCATTCAGAATAAGGGGCACACCACGGCGGTGGACTGGTGGGCGTTGGGGATTCTGATATACGAATTTCTCACGGGATATCCGCCTTTTTGGCATCAAAATCCTATTGAGATTTACAAACAGTAAGTTGACGTGGCCAGAGAGTGCAGAATCGTAAAAAAAAACGAAGAAGCAAGAGTGAAGAGAAGCAGAAGTGGAGAGGCAGGATATTAAATAGGAGAAAGTGAGACTACATAAGAGAGAGAAGAGCAAAGATGGACTCAGTTGAGAAATGTGGCATAATGGCGTCCAGATGCTGACCTTCAATCTTCACTAGAATCATAGGCAAACCTCTGACATTCCCTCAAGATCCACCCATATCAGAGCATGCCAAAGACATCGTCCGCTCCTTCTGCACCGTCGACCGTTCTCGCCGCCTCGGCAACCTCAGCGGCGGGGCCAGCCGCGTCAAAACCCACCCATTCTTCCAATCCATCAACTGGGACGACCTGCTCAGCCGCCGGCGGCAAGGACCCATTGTGCCGCCGGTACGATATCCGGGTGACGCGCAGTGCTTTGAGACGTACTCGGAAGAGGATGGGAGGAGGGATGCTTACACGAGTGACATGGCGCAAAAGTATGATCAGTATTTTGCCGATTTTTGAGGAGGTGACACCGGGGAGAGAGGGGTGGGGATGCTGGCATAAGCTATTGGAAGTTATTATCTGTATGACTTGGTTTGGAGTAAGAGGAGGAGAGCCCGTTTTTCGAGTTCCTTGACTTGTTGAATATTTTGTAATATACATGTCACATGTATATTACACAGCATGTGTTTGTGTGATGTGTTGGACATGCGTCGCAAATCGAGATAATTAGAGAGTCTCAACCTAGAAAAGAGCTCACACTACATCTAGGTAGCATTTCCGTTCTCGAAGTGTTTGTGTTGGTAACGTCAGGTACCGCGGCATGTAAAAGTCAAAAGATGACAAGTGTCGATGCATGGAATACGGAACCAAAGGCGCGTGTGCTGTGATTGCTTGTATTCGTCTTATTCATGGATGATCTAAAAGGGGAAAGGGGGAAAGGGGAATTCCCGCACCCACTAGATAGATACATGAAGTGGAAGCCCGCCCCCCTTTCTACGTAGGTAGGGTTGCATCCACGAGTAGTTAGCTACAGTCAAGTGAATGTACGTATGAACAAGATAGATAAGGCCATTTTTTTTTTTTTCAATCCTCGCATGCTCTTCCTGCAAGGATCGGGTGCCTGAACCTGCTGTACCCATGCCGACTTCTAGACAACTTTGGACTCCCTCCTTCACTGGATGAGTGGCCAAGACAGGAAGGAACCTTGGTCTCATCTTGGAACAGATGAATAGCGACTGAATCTCCCACATTTTGTTTCCCATTCAGAATCAGATATACACGAAGATAAGGATCCTCACAACATCTTGATGACTAACGCTTGAAATGTTACAATACAATTACACGTGTCGTGTCACCACCGTTTCTATACCAAACATCCCATGATCCCAAGTTCCTCGCTCGCTACCAACTACACTGTACTGTACACACACAACAGTGACAACACACACCGATACTCCCCCCCAAAAAGTAAAAAAAAACAAAAAACAAGAAAGCCACCTTCACTTGTAGTACACAGACAACCAAACTTAGTAGTAAAGCTGAACTCATACAACTATCCCGCATTATAAAACCACCAAGTCCCCACCCCCGCCGCAATCAACACAGCCATCACCCACGCCCCCTCCTTGGTACTCCATAGCAAAGCACACCACCCCGTCATCAACTCCTTCCGCCTAGCAACCTCCCTCCGGGACCAAGCCTCACGATCAATCTCAACAGGCAACTTGGCCCGAGGATCCATACCCAAGTCACCCTCCGGCGGGGGTCTCATGTCCTCTGGCGGAATCAGAGGGACCCGCGCCCTAAAGTACACAGCACGGTGGTCGCTACTCCTCATGAGAGGAAGGCCATCATAGGCAAGGACATCGATGCGGGGAGGTGAGGGATCGCTATCGCTCGACGAGTTGACGTGTACCCAGGGTGGAACTTCTAGGTACAGCACGCGGTCTGTCCAGCTGGGCCACCGATGAGAGGCAAATTCCCAAGGGACCTGGTCCTCGTGTTCGTCGTCGGCGTCTGGGTTCTCCTTGGGGAGCACGTTATATTTGTAGGTAGGTGGGAACTGGACACTTGCTTCTGACAGGCCGTGCATGGTGCGGCCGGCTCTTCTCTCGTGCGTGAGCTGGTCCTGGGGAAGAAAGGTCGGGTAGTAGTGTTCTGATGAGGGGTTCTCACTTGGAAACGTGGCGTTTGGTGGGGGGGGTGATGTTGATATTCTGTAGTTGAGGTCTCCGGCAACGAATAGGTGGGAGGATGGCTTGAAGACGGATAAATCATGCAACCGCTGCTGAACTTGGGGTTGCTCCCGGCGGTACGTATC